GGGGTCACAGACGTGCTGTCATTATAGAGGGAGCGCAAGCCAAACTCATCGCACGGGATTGGTGCGCTCGCTAAGGTCCGACAGAAAGGGCGCGACGGCGCGCCTGAATTTTATTTTCCTCATTAATTTTTCCGGTTTTCTTTTCGGGGTTTCATTAATTGTGTTTGCGCGCCGTGTAAACGAAGCGGTGGTTGGTATGTATTGGTTTGGTGCTTAATTGAGTGCGGGTGAGCGTTGCGGTCCGCACCCGCACCGCTTGTGCCCCGCGGGCGCAAACAGACTCGCTCCGGCCAGGAGGGCGCCGCCAGGGACGCTGATTTGGACGCTAAGCGAGCGGCGCCGGGACCCCGCACCCCTCGCGCTCTGTGTTCGCCCAAGTAGTTTCAGTTGACCCGCGCAGCCCCCGTCCACAACTCGTCCTGCGACGTGGCCGTGTCCCGTGCTGGAAATGGTGCCCGTCAGTTCGATGTCGAATCGTCGGCATCGTGTGCTATAGTCGGTTTTGGCCCGAATCTAGGTAGCAACGTCATATGGATATTTACCGTAAGTTCATGATGTGACCCCATTCCCCCCTCCCCCCTTTTTCTCAAACGTTCAAACATTTTGCACAGTTTTAATGATTAACACTACGAAAAATAGTTCAAAGGTTTACAGGAAAATTTTCCTTGACGCAAGTTGTAAAATGACAATTTGTCATCGTAAAATTACATGCTGCACTGGAAACGCAAGTGTGTGAATGTCCATTCGTACACTTACAGGGGTAAACGTGTGAATTTTTCCTAAGGAATTCACTTGTTTACCCCCCCCCCCCTAAGTGTACGAATGAATATTTACACACCTTCAAGCGTGCGACATTCATACACTTGCGTTTTCAGCGACTTAAAATGCATTCGCGATTATAAAAAGGTGCTCTCGTAAAATGTACAACTTAAATTATAATTCGAGCTTACAAAAAAGTTGTAAATTTACGACGATATTCTTCACAGTGTAATATTTGATAAATTCAGGAACGACGTAAGAATTTAAGTTTTACAGGTGAACAATTAATGGGGGCATTATTAATTTACTGACGTCGGTTTGACGCCGCGTAGAGTAGCATTAGTTTCTTGCCGGGTCGCTTTGCCTCCCTGGCCGGGTTGGCGGCCGCGCTGGCCAGACTCAGTCGAGCGAATCCAAACAGAACTCTGTGCTGCGGCTAGGCGAGCCGTTCGCCTAAGTATAGAGCTGTGTATACGTGAGGGGGAGGGGGGGGGGGCACCGCGAGCCTCAGGGCAGCAATATTGCAACCGCGAGCCGCCTGGGATGTGTTGCCTGCCCATCTTCCAGGCTTCCAACTGCAGCCGCCCGTTGTTGTATTTGCAGGTTTTTGTGACAGTTTGCCTGATGTAGGTAGCGTGGGTGCAGACGCATCCCACTCAGGTTCCCTTACACATAGTGGATCGCAGCTGTGCTATGCCATATGGGGTTTTTGTCGATATAACTATTAGTAAGTTGCCTCTCCCCTTCCCAGTTTTTTCTTACGATGAAAATAGAATTGCAGGTTTTACAGGGAAAAGTTTAGCAAAGCAGGATAACGCTTACCAGTCAGAGTGTGCGTTATGACATTATTTATTTTTTATTTTTTTTGGTCGTTATATCGACTTTAAATCTCTCGCTGAGAGCAAGACAAACATTGGTTTCGTAAATTTACGACAGCGTTCCCGTCAACCAACAAAGTTATCTGTGTATCAAAGATGTTACCAAAAGATTATTTTTTTAACAGCAGTTTCCAAAGATATATTTTGAGTGTTTTTTGAACGTGTCACGTGTCGCCGCCACTTAACAGGGGGTGGCGACGTGTGTGGCGCCCAGTTCATTAGGCCCGACGCTCACGGGCTCAGCAGCTTGCCGTGAGCTGACTGTGCGGTACTCACTCGTACGCACTCGCACGTGCACACACACACGTGCACAAACACATGCACTGCACACACACGTGCACGCACACTTGCACACACGTGCACGCACACACATGAACCGCAAGCTCTCTATCTGCTGGCGACACGGCACGGGTGTACTCACTGGAGCCACGTCAGCCCGCTGCCCCTCACTGTAAAAATTCTTTGTCACTATATGACGAAAACACCATGGCTAATTTTCAGAACAGGGGGTGTCATCATGGGTTTTCTCGTCACGGTGACGAGAAAAACCTAATCATGTGACAAAAAATCCCATGACAAAGAATTTTTACAGTGCTGCTACACGGGGACTCATAGCCAACCTCTGTCAGGCACACAACTGGGTTTATTTTGATTTTTCCAACTGATTTCGCTTGCTTGGTTTTGTTTTCGGCCTGTCGCGGGCTGTTTGAGATTCCTTTGCAGTGGGTGGGAAGGTCGGGCGGGTTTCCTTTGCTGCGCGTTGCCCCTGTCACCCCCTGGACCCACGAGGGTGCTGCTGCTGCTGGTGGTGCTTGCAGTCGCCTCGAGCCGGCTGCACTGGTGGGTCTTCTCGGAGCCTTGTCCTTGTTGTCACAGCGTGTGTAGTCTTCAGCTTTCAAGGGTGCGAAAGACGGCAAGGCAACAGGCCCGAGATAGGGGGACTTTTTAAAGCGCACAGCACTGAAGGAGCAGTTAACTGTAAAGAAAAAGCTAACCGACGTTGTTGTGGAATTCGTAAACGTTCTTATCCTACAGTTTGAATGTGTCACGTGTCACCTACCCCTACGATTTACAGTTTCTAAATTTGTGAATCACTGCGACAGTTGCAAGCAGTAGTTAAATTGCAGAACTTTTATTTTACGGTGTGACTTTGAAGCGTACGAAAAGGGTTGCATTCTATGTCGTGGTGGAGGGTATGGCTCCGTCGGTGCATTGAAAATGTGTGTCGTGTTTTCCAGACGTGCCAGCTGGGCGAGCGGCCCCTACCTCCCGCTGTTGCCGGAGTCGTCGGGGGTCTCGACGTCCTGGCGGATCTCGCGCGACGGCGACGGCGCGCGCCTGGCGCCCGGACCTGCTGCTGGTGCACTTTCAACGAGGGTTCCAACGACTCAAGTTCATGTGAACCGAAAACGCCCGCAACTTTTGGCGGGACTTCAGTCAGGTAAACAAAGTCACGACCGGTCGCGTCGCGTTGCTCGGCGGTGTGGTGGGGCGTGGCGGGGGCGGGGTGCGGCGGGGGCGGGATTATTGCGGGGGCGGGGTGGCGCGCACCCGGGGGGTTCCTCCGCGCCGGGCGCGAGGTCCGCGAGCGGGAGGAGACACGCTCGCGGGTCGCGGGTCGCTCCGCGGGTCGAGATGTGCCCGACGCCAACCAAGCCTCGCCCGCAACTGACTGGGGCGCGCCGCTCTGGGGCCGCCAACCCCCACCCTGCCTCTAGCCGCCCCCCTGCGCCAGGAGAGGGGGCGCTCAGGAGGTGGGGGGCGGGGGGCAAGGCCGCGAGCGCGCCGACCGAGGACCACGATGACGGCGGCCAGGGTGACCACCAGCATGGCCGAGGCCACGAGGAGGGCTGCCTGGTGCGTCTTCCGTTTGGTGGTGGTGGCGGCGGTGGCAGTGGTCTGGCAGGCTCCAGCCCCACGCCTCCAGCCAGTGTGCTGCGGACTCGTAGAATGCACATTAGTGTGCAGCGAGCTGCATGCATCTGCTGCACTTTCAACTTCAACTAGGGTTATAACGACATCCGTTCGACACACGTGTATTCGTGGCAGGTTTCTTTTGTGCCTGGCTCGGTCTGGCTACACCATGACTCTTCCCCGGGAGCGGGGGCGGCGGGGGGCGGCGGGGGGCGGCGGGGCCGCACCTCCGCCTGGCTGCGCTGCATCAGTTGTGTTTGCAGGCCTCTCCAGGCCCGCGCGGCCCGCGGCGCGAGCGAGGCGCGCTGACGGAGACGGATTTGGAGCGAGCGAGAGAGACAGCATTAGGGGGTGGGGGGGAAAGCGGTGGAGGGCAGTGCGGCGCACCACTCCGCGTGCTGCGCCTGACACTGGAGTGACGACTCCTGCCACTCCGCGGCCTTCCTAGTCCTGCGCTACTCTCTGGCGGAGCTTGGCCATGGGAACCAAGTTCAAGCTGCGCCCACTTTCTTGTTTTTCTATGCAACATTGTTTTTGGGGTGATAATCAATCGCTAACTTGACACCCCGCATCTGCTGTCGTCGCCGAACAGGCGGGAAGCGTCTGCGAGCGTCACGCAGTCCATCAAGTTATCGCGCCCTCCGCCCTCTTATACGCATGTTGCTTTTCCGTCAGGGTGCCTGTGATGGCATCGCCTAGCCGGCCTAGTTGCGTTGTTCCTCTGTGCTAACCTGTGAGAATGGCTTCGCTCTCTGATTCCAAATGCATTTTCATCAACGATCTAAACCACAAATGAGTAACTTTGCCGACTCGTTTCGTTGTGTTTCCCTTTGAAAGCCGCATCGTCTGGACCGGGACCGGGCAAGCAAAAATCCGGAAACCTCCTTTTATCGCCACGCTTGCGATATTCCTCAATATAGTCGTCGTTTAAAGTTAGCTTCTCGGGTCCCCAACTTCGTTGGACATGGGCCGGCATATTCTGCCGCCCTTCTCTCTCTAACTCTGGAGGAAAAAGTTGTTCGCCTCGCTACAGGGCGCTGGAACACGTCAATGGAGCAACAAGCATCAAGGGGAACCCCATGCCTTAAAACTTGGCGCGACAAGAAGTCACAGCGCCTGTTGTGGCGCCGAGGGGATGGGGATGAGAACCTTTTGCGGATATGCATTGTTTATTCCAAAAGTAACTCAAACAACTCTGTAACAGTACACATTCACTGATCTTTTCTGTTCATAATTCATACGTTCAATTTACAGATAGAACACACTGAAAGAAAAAGTGTGGAACTGACATGCACATGGTAGTGTTCAACTCTCTGGTCACACTTTAAGATGTTAAAAGATGATAAAAGAAGATGACTAAAGATTTGCATACGAAAAAGTGTAACACTGAAAAGTGTCCAAAGCTGGGTATAAGCAGCCAAGAAGTTGTAAAGAAGTTGAACACTTCAAATTTTTAACTTTATACTTTTAAGTGTTCAACTTTACACTTTGAAGTGTTCAACTCACTGTTATACTATCGTAGAGCACTTATTGCATTTGCCCGCCAGTTGCACACATTGGCTGTCAGTGCAGATGGCGGGGTAAAATATCACAGTACCGGTAATAAAAATACAACTTAATATAGATTCCTTCTCAAAAATGTATCCAATTGTTTTTTGAGTTTCTTCTTAATCATATTAAAACAAGGTGTCCCCTACTGGGTGACCACCCAGAAAATTAAAAAAAAACTCTGAAGACCATCAGAAAAACCAAAGAAAACCCAGGCGGACCAAAAAAAAATATGCATTGACTACCAAACTTTTTTTTTCGGTATACAAACACAGAAAAATCTTTTGATGACCATTAGGCTTATAAAGAAAACTTAGGAAAACCAGAAAGGCTCGATCATATGTTCTGTACACGTGGCAGACCAGGGTGGGGGTGGACATCCTTGTATGAATGTCAGTGTCGCTGCTCGACGCGCAAGAGAACTTGCTCGTTTTTGGATTTGAGGATGAGTTCGCCGGTTAACTCGGGTTTGTATCCTGGATACGCCTCGAGGAAGCGTAACTTTATGAGCATGTGCGCGATAATGCACTTCATCTCCATCATGGCGAACTTCTGGCCTGAGGGGTGATAAAATAGTTTTAAGTCATATTCATTTACAGCCTACAGCTACATTGTCAGAAATACACTCGAAATTTTCAACTTACAAACT